GAAGAGTTTCACCTAACAAGACCCTCAAGTTTTAGCTGTGAAACATATGCATGTAGCAAAACATCAATCTTTGCACTGGCCTCCTTCATTGTTTCCTTGATCCGATCGGGACACAATCCAAAAGTTTTGCCATTTCCATCTTCTTGCACAACTATCACATACTTGAACTCCTCACTCAGTGAGAACAAACTACTACATACAAACCCCTAATGGAGTCTATTTTCTAGAATCCAAAAAATCTGAAAATAATAAAATCCAAATTGAACTGAACCGAACTATAATTTAATCTCAAATGTAATATATTTTTAGAAACCGAAAAGCTTGAAACTCAACAAAATCTGAATCGAACCGAACCAAATAACTAAATTTCCACTCTAATTTAGACTTTTATGTTAATGTTGAGCTACTGTAATTTGTCATATTAACTGGTGTTTCTATTTATAACTACATTTATTAATGTTGTTGAATGAAATAAGGAAATAATTTGACTAGTGTTTTGTTTGTTTTTTTTTGAACCTTTTCATATTTGACTAGTGTTTTGCCATGTTAAAATGGGAATAAGTAAAACGTAACTTAAAAATATTTCATCACGTGCTCTGCAATTATGCAAAACTATATAAATCATCAAAAGTTGGCTTCATTAACTCTCTAGATAAATGGATATCGAGAGACCAGAAAAGGTGAAAAACGAATTGGTCAACCACTAAAGCCGTTAGGTTTAACACCTTTTTTTTATTGCATGTGAAAAATTATCCAATTATTGACTCACATGAAAATAATAAAAAATTATGAAAATAGACCAAAAAACAATCAAAATTAAAAAAATAGACCCTATTTTCTAAATTAAAAAAATAGGCTAATGTTAACTAGGTTAATTTCGATTGTTAAAAATTTCAACATATTGATGTAGTAATCAAATTTCAAAATATTTCAGATTTGTAAATATTGTTCTGTGAGATTTTCTCGCAAATTGTTTAAAAGGATTAGTTTCTTGTAAAACAACGATCTAATTTGATTCAAATTTAATATTATAATCTTGTTTTAAAACCAATCCAATTACATTATATACGAAAGATAAGTGTGTATCTAAAAGAATCAAAATCATTGAATCAATGAAAGAATTCAGAAGAATCACTTCAAAACACCCTTGGTTTGTTTTCACCAATCCATAATCCTTTGTTTTTCAAATCGAACATTGAAACTCACTTGTGGTCCAAAAACAAAACACATGAACATAAGACAACATCAACCGATTAAGGACAATTTCTGAACATGTTAATCAAGCTCATTAATGCTAAGAACACAATTGAGCGTTGCAAT